AAGCAAAGGACAGGCTGATGGAGCAAAATGGCCAAGAGAGCCCCACCAAAACTGCTACCAGACTAACATGAGGTTTTATCCTACTGCCCCCTAGAAGCACCCCTCTCCAGATGCAGAGCCCAAGAGACAGCTCCCCCAGAAGAAAAACTGCACCGACTGAAACCAGCCAGGAGAAGGGGCCAGCCCAATCACCCAAGCGGCTGCTGCCCAAGAGGAACAAGCACACAGAGCAGAAACAACAAACACCGCCAAGGAAAAACGGATGTGAAACATGCAGGAGCTGACTAGGACACTGACCCTTTCCACTAAGGACATAGGGCCTCTGTTGGAGGCAGCAACTTGGGCAGCCCTGAGGACTCCCCAGTGCTCCTGGAGGCACAGGTGTTCCCAAAAGTGCCTTCTCCAGCCTTGGACGGTGACTGGGCTGCAGAAGCGTAAGTGGACGCAGCATCACGGTGCACAGGTGAGGCAGACAAAGTCAAATAAAACTAAGCAGGCAAGAAGAACTGAGAAAGAAGGTGAAAATCCTTACAGATGTCTCATCTCAGAAAGAAACAATTCAGAGCAAGTTGTGAAGATAGCCCCAGCCAGGCATTGCTGGATAAGCTCCCAGTTAGCTGACTCCTGACCTAGAGGGGAAAAAAGCAGGACAGCTCTCACAACCTCCGCTGCTTTGAGAAGACAGTGCCCTCATCCAGCTACAGAGGACGATCTCCCTGCGTGCGTGGCACTCACCTGATTTTCTAGGACCTGGGAGATGGAAGGAGACAAAGGGGTTCAAAAGAGACTAGCACTACTCATCTGAAAGAAAATACAAACAAGCACCCAAAGATGCACACTGCTTACAGCTCCACATTGCCGCTCTGTCTCCTGGTACTTGCACCCATTACCAGCACAGAGCGACACCTGAACGTACAAGAAGTTTCCAAAGAAGAGCACAGTAGGCAATAAAGAAGAAACACAAAAGTAAGAAACTCTCTATATTCAGCCTATTGAGAGAACTTTGTCCTCTTTTTTTTGGTAGACCTCCTGGGGGTATTTACTGCTCACTGGTGGAAACCCTGATGCACTGTCCATGCTCCCTGCTGCTGAGAAGAAAGCCTGTGTAAAGAAACGGAGGTTAAAACCTGCTCTGAACTTCAGAGCTAATGATTCCACCACAATTTCTCTGCTATTGCAAAGGGGTTGCTGCTCCACGGGCACCCAGCGCCAGGCAAATGCAACACCTCTGTCCCTAACCAGCAGGCCGAGGGCAAACGGGAAGGTTCTTGCAGCCGATGCACAGGGCTGAGACAGCACATCTTGACTCTGGCCTTAGCTTTTCTAAGAGCTTTTTGGGTGGCCCTACCAAACTTTTGATGGCGCTACAAGACTGACCTCTCACAAAGAGGCTAGGAGACTTAATTCTTTAATGATTCTAAAGTATTCAGACATCTGGAGAGAAGTATTATTCAATTACCGTTGTGCCAAGGGAAAACCTCTCTTCCCTAATCTTAGCTGCAGCTATGGAGTAATCTTTATTAGCGCATGCATGCTGCGCGGCAACACAAGGAAGTATCTACTGCAGAGCACAGGCAGCAGGCAATAGCAACGGTGGGAACCTTAACTCAGCATTTCCTGACAGGGGTGATTAAAATCTCAAACTCAGTGTAATATTAACACTTTCTCAAGAGACTGACAGCACATTTGCCCTGTTTACTTTACCAATTCACGTAAGCTGCATACAGTACTATCAGATTTAAGATCAATACAGACCCACGGCAAATGAAACCAGTGGCAGAGAAGAAATGGCACTCAGCTCTTCAGCTCACTTTGCTCTATCCAGCTGTTTTAAAAAAAAGCAAAATAGCTGCTCATTGGTTCAGCCTCCTTTTTTGCATTTCTTATTGGAATCCCACACGAAGTGACCTGATATTGTCAGGTAAGCAGGGCACTGGGTCAGCCTGGACTCTCCTGACACTGCACATCTAGAAACACGCAACGTATAAGAGACCACAGAGAACAGCCATTCACAGAATGAAACCCTAAAAGGCTGCGGGCATAACGGATAAAACCCTAAGCACAAAACAGCCAGGCTGCAACTCAAATACTTCTTCAGCTCGCTTTGAAACCATCCCATGCCCTCCGTGCCAGCAGTGCCAAATTCAGTTACTGAGGAAGGGGCCATACGGAGATGCACGTCCCTCGGCGTGGACAGATGGTACGTTCTTCCAGTTCTGCATCTTCCTAGAAAACATGATGCAGCAAACTGTGAAAGAAGCAGCTATGCCAAGCCTCTACCTAAACACACAGTGCCAAGGCCAATTGCCAGCACTGCACGCCACCTCTTCTTGTCACAGCAATGGCTGCAGTGTGAGCTGGCCTTCTGCAGACTTGCCATCACGCTTTACTAACTCCATTCAGTTGGCTCCTAACCCTGAAACAAAGTAAAGTAATGATGTTTGTGTCTTTGTATAGAGCTGCAGAAGGAAAAATAAAGTCAGCACTGAGAAGAGAAGAGAAGAGACGAGACGAGAAGAGAAGAGACACGCAATATGCTTGCAAAAGAAAACCCTGCTCGCTGACAGGGACAGTGTGCACATCAGCAGGTCCTGGGAGAGTAATCGTTCAGCATCTCCTTGCCAAGTGTGCCACGACATAGGACTGGCACCTAACTGCCTGCACAATGAAGAAAGCGACGACTGAGGACAGAAAACATCCCAAATCAATTTCTTGTCACCTGAGAAACAGCCAGCATCTCCACAGTAAAAAACACCAGTCACCTTTGGCTTGGGCTGGGTTTGAAGCAACAGCCTCCGTTTGAAAGGTAGAAGGAGCCTCTCTCCCACGCTTCTGCCCAGTACATGTCCAGAGCTGTTAGGGTCTATACTTGCGTTGGTGTATCTGCTTCTGGAAGCTGAACACTCTCCTATTCTACCCTGTAAAATTCCATTCTCTGGCCCAGAAACAGCTGCCATAAAGACTGATGCCCGAGCAGCTACCTGCAGAGCACAGCTGTCAGTACAAATGAAAGAACACGGCTTGCCTCAGCCTTTTCAAGGTCTACAGCTGGCAAGGAAGGGACCAAGGAGGCGATGACACAGTTTAGACTCATTTCCCCAAAATGACACGTAAGCACTGGCACACATCCCCTGGGAGAAGAGCTGTTCCCTTCCGCCCGGCTGGGGGATGTGGGGCAGAGGTGCTGCCAGGATGAGGGCTGCTGCCTGCCCCTGGCGCAGGCAGGGCCCTTCCGAGGCCAAACAGTGCCACACAGTGGCAACACACGGACTGCTCCGCTCCTTTCCAGAGAAGGAGCTGCAAACCACCCAGAGACGCAGTGAGGAAGAGGGTAAGAGGCTATAGCTTCAAGGAGCAAGGAGTCCAGAGCTTCCCGAAGAGCTGCTGTCTTTATCCAGCCCACAGCTTCACAGCACGGTATCTTTGGCAGCGACACAGATTTAAAGGTTTCCTTTTCACCTGGTTATTTTTAATCCAGATCAGTTTGGTGACATGGCTACCGCACAGCCTCATAAGCAGTTGTGCCAACACAAGGGGAGTGCTGCACCACAGCAGGCACAGGCAGCCCGAGCACAAATATCTTGGCTGTCAAAACCAGCAGGGCCCGAGCCTGTGCCCTCAGCTCCCCCTGCCCTTTTGCCACTGTAATTCTGATCATGCGGCCTCTGAGTATTAGTGGGGAAAGCTTTCCACGAGCCAACATTTCAAACAGATGAAGAAATCAAGACTAATGGTAGTAATTAGACACACAATCTGTACAGACATTGCCAGCAACCTGCACTTCAGAACGCACAGCCCCCCGTTGAACAGACCAAGGGCAAGCTCTAGCAAACAGTGCTGCATTATAAACAACAAGACATCACCGCCCCCCACTTTGCTAGCGGTTACGCTACCTCACATGGGAGCACTGCAAAAGAGAAACTCCCAGTGCCTCAAAAACACTCACAGCATCTTATGTCAAAGCATCTTCATCAATGATTTATGGAGAGGCTAAAGCTTGGCACGTTCCTTTCAATGATGCTGAGGAAGCAAAGGTCTCCAGAAGAGAAGCTGAGGAGAGGGAAAACAACCAAGGGCAGTAACATCTTAAAAATGCTGCAGCTATGTGCCAGAGCTTATCTTTCAAAGCGCCAAGACTTCACCCCAGTTCCACCCAGCTGAAGTCACAAACTAGTTATAAAAACGCAGTCGTATCTGAGAAGCTCTGGGCCCTGCAGTATGCGGAGAAGGTCTTCCCAGTTCTGCTAAACTCACATCCTCAACAGCCATTTTAGGACAGGCAGCCCAGAGCTCCCTGGCAAGTTCTCTTGCAAGCCGCATGTGCCAAAGCAGTGCAAGGATTCCTAGAGGATGAGCTCCCAACCACCACTGCCTTGGCCTGCATTCCTGTGCCTGACAAACAGAGTTCACTCGGGCTCCTCTTGCAAGGTACAGAGCTCAAACAGGCTCATGAGACATACTGTTAGTCAATTATTTTTTTTTATGCTTGCAAAAGAAAAGCACCAGTTTGGCCTCTCAGCAGAACAAGTAATGCAAATATGACACCTACACTGGAAATTAAAACCACAGTTTTCACGTTCCCAGTGCAAACCTCTGATCATCTGGCACTGGGACAAGTGACCCACTTCCAGAACAAGCCTCAGAGCTTACAGGGTCACTGTTAACCCCGGTCTTCAGCATCTGACCTCATTTCCCACCAGCAACCTCACCCAAGTTAGAGCCCTCAGCAGAGGCATTTTACAGCATCTTCTGTTTGTGCCTCTCCCATTCCATATCAGCCACACCAGCACAAGCTGCCAAGAAATGGATGGTAACAACATGCCTTAAACATGAGAGGCACAAGGTCACCAGCTCTTCAGCCTGACCCAGGCACAGCTCCCATAGGGGAAGCCAAAACACTGGAAAATTTAGCAACAGGAAAGCAAAACAGATCCAGTGTCATTCCACTGCATTCCAAACACATGACACCAAAGCCAACTGCTGCCTCCTGCAGTACTCACGTCGCTGGGGCTGAGGTTCCCAAGACCATTGTCCTGCTCAGAATCCCTGCCGGACTCGTGGCCCTGGGAGGAGCGGGGGTGGGAAGGATGGATCCAGATCTCCAGCCGCGTGGTATCATCTCCAACTTGTCGCAATGTGGACTTCTTGCCCTTCCCCCGGCGGCTGGGGCTCAGATCCAGCACCTGATGTTTCCTCTGCTCCATCTGCTCAGCCTGGGCAGATAAGACAGATTCAGATCACCCAGGGACCAAAGTTCAGGAAAAGTATATAATTTCATTTACATGGAGAAATTAGCTCTTGCCCCTGCTTCAGAACCAGAGTAACTCACTGACAGGTCCAGAATTTGGTTTCTGACACTATAAGACAGTGCAGGTGAGAGGTTTTCAACTCCAGCTGCCCCGGGACAAGAAAGGCTGTGTCCAGTCCTAGCAGTGTGTGACAGCCAACATGCTGTATCTTTGACTTGGGGTGACCCTCTGGGGCACAAAGGGACTGCAGCCTCTCTTGTCCACCCTTGTGGGGCACCTCTGGGATAAGGCAATGATCATGCTACATGCCAAGGCCATGCTGCAAACCACAGCAACCTACAGCCCTCGCTGAGCTTCACTGTTTTACAGTTTGCGACCCAGAAACAAGAGATTCAGCTGCCCAAACAACCCTAAAAGGAGTCTGAGGAGATGCAGAAAAGACACCGTAATTCTGAAAACTTGGTCTCTCATCTGACTCCCAAATACAGAATTTCTTAGAAATAGGTAAGTGGTGACTCCAAGTCCAAAAGCCACCATCACCCTCCTCTCCGGATCACAGCTCTCCAGTACAGAAGAGCCAGCACGGGCAGCTGCACCATCCTGCAGCCCAGCTCCAAGACTCACCTTGCGTTTTGTCTCTTCAAACAGACTCATGAGGCTCTCCTTGGCTGTGAGGATGGGGTTGCTAGCAGCCAGGCTGCGCATATAATAGTAGACAGCATCCAGCTTTCTCCTCTGCAAAAACACAACCAGACTCAGAGCTGCCACTCATTCTGGGGCATTCAGAGCCAAGCTCCCACGTACTTCGCCTTCCCTGTCCCTCAGTACACATGCCCTCTCCCTCTATACTGCCTGGGACAGACAGACATGCCGACAAACAGTATGACAATCAGGACCTTGAACCCTCCATCCACATTCACAGCTACTTACAACCACCAGCACAAAGCACAAGCCCTTTGCCAGGATTAGGGAGTGCAGGTGACACCGCAGCCTGCGGACTCACTTGCTTTAGCCCCAGGGCTGCTACAGAAACCATCAACCCAGAGGCTCACATAAAACAGTCCCTCAGGAGACATCACGGTAAAGGACAACAGTGTAAATACTGAATTCCTGACAGTTCAGAAAATAACCCTTTTCAACATTACTATGAATATGGAAATGACTCCACACGAGTTTCACAAAGAACAGAGGTCCAGGAAGACTGGAGGGTTTGCCAGACACCTGCCAGTGGTGGGGCAGGATGTGCCCCCCATCTCAGCCCGCTGCTGGGCTAATCCCCTCACGCTCAAGCAACTTCTCAGAATCTTTTCTCCCACAGGCTGGCCACAGCGAATACCGTGAGAAGGCACCCCCCAAGTCCTTATGCTACCAAGACACACAGCCATTTAGGGTTTCGCCCACATGCTGCTGGCCTTACAAACCACCACAGAGGGTGGGACACTTTGCTGCTCCAAGCCCCACAACGCGAGTCAGAAAGGTCATTCCCAGCCATGAAGGAAATGCACTTCTGAATTGCTCTGCTTTAAACCAGCATCTTTCAGTGTTGCGAACAGGCAGATTCCTACCAGCTCCTATGTCCCAGCCTGATGCTTCCATTATCTGCTGTCACATCTTCCTTGAAGTAAGTTTTCCTGCATGGCTGGGGTAGCCAGCAAAACTGAAACCTAAGAAAGTCGCATGTGGATGTCGCTTAGACCAGTGCCCACAGGTCCAATGAAGACACGGCAAACAGAAACAGCATCCTCATGACAGTGTGGCCTTGAGCACAAGAATCTCACGCAAAACTTTGAACATAACCCACTTCTAAAACATTTGCACTCTCAACAGCCCACAGAACAGTCCCCCAAATACCGATAGCCTGAGGGAGTAGCATGTATCTAACAAAGCTGCCTAAAGCCACAGCAGCTGGAATCCACACAGCACATGCTGCCATCAGCTTTTTTCTTTCTTTAAAAAAAAAAAAACAACATCTGGAAGCACTGCCCTAAACCATGTCTTTCTCCACCAGATGGAATCTCACAGCCATCTCAGAGGCTCTCCCTAATGCTTGCTACATGCTTGCATGATGAGCATCTTACCGTGTAGATGGCCAGGAGCGCCAGCTGGTTGTACGGGCGGCCATTTTTGGGAGCAATTTGCTGAGCCTTCAGGTACCAGCTGAGGAAGGGAATAACCACAGAGAAAGAGTCATTGAAAGGACATCAGGTTGCCTTCCTTGCTGTGAAGGGCACAGAATTCCCCTCGCAGCGTTGGCAGTCCCGCAGGGAACAGGCCCTTTGCACAAGTGCCCTCTGCCTGCAAGAGCATGCACAGGCAGCGAGCCTGCACCCGGCCTGGAGGGTGCACAGGACAGGAGAGAGGGGCAGATACAGCTGCAGAAGGAAATGTTCCTGGCTCAGCCCGAAGATGAGCATTTAGCCAGACCCAGCAAGCGCTGTCCCCCATGCAGCCTCAGGCACAGACAACAGGCTATTCAGGGAACATTTCTCTCTGTCCCCTTTTTAGCTCCATGGCAGCTGGGACCAAACCCTCCATGTTTCTCAGCTCATTCCCCATATTTTTGAGATACTTAATCATCCCAAGAGAAGAGGCATCCGTTCCGTGGCAGTCCATTCATCCCTCCATTCTCCCCTCTATTTTCCCTCAATTGTAGTATCCACTCTCCAGCTTATATCATGCCACACGGATCCATCAACACTGTTCAAACACATCATGAACCCACTACGTTCCCTCCAACCTCCCTATCGGCATACTCCATGATGTCCACAGGCCCCAAAACGGGCAGCTTTCCCTGCCCTGTTCTCCAAACCTCCACAGATTTCAGGGCTCCATCCCCCATGCTGGGCTCACTTGCCCCCCCACCAGTCTTTGCTCCAGAACAAAAGATCAGAAAAAGGACTGTATCCCAGGCAAAAAAAAGAGTGACAGGAAGCAACAAGTGGTGGTAACTCCTGATGCAATCAGAACATATGGACACATATGGGAAGCTCTCCTAGCTGAAAAGCTACCAGAAAATACAACAGCCAGTCTGCCAGCCTCAACAGCATAAACCCTCCCGGTCACAGGATCAGCGCAGGACAACTTCCACACTAGATGGCTGGACAAAGACTGGATCTGCTGGCTTGCTTTCTGGGATAGCAAAACAGCCTAGGCTACTTCTTTCAGCTTCACGGGACTGCAATACAATAAAGAGGCTCGAAAAGACTTCTTTGGCTAGAAGCAAGTTTAAGCGTGAAATGAGATACATCCCTTGTAGATAGAGGAAGAGCTGTGCTCAGCACTACAGAGAAGAACACAATACCTGCGTGCCTTTCCATAGTTTGCGGTGTCATTTGCTTGTTCTCTGTATCGGCAAATGTCCCCTTGACAAATCATACACCTCTGAGCACTGATCAGCGCGTACTTCACCTGGAAAGAAGCATTCAGTACATCACGTGGGACCTGCGCAGCCCTGGCTCATCTGCAGACCCAGTGAGCGCACAGGGACCATAGAGAGCTAAGAGCAGGTCACTGACACACTGAAGGTCTCACAGAAGGGCAGCAGAATGAAATGACAAGGCTCCATGGCACTGGTTCAGCATTTGTAGGGGCAAGCCAATCCCCTAAACACCTCCTCTCTTACAACAACATCCCATCTCTCTCCAGAAGAGAGTTGTTCAGTCCATGACTGATTTGAGGACAGCTGTTAGACAAACACATCTCTCTGGTAACAGAGCTGGACTAAAATATCCTTTCCCAGCTGTGCCTCGCACCTGCACTCACAGCTCAGGGCAATACGCTGTCAAGTGTCAGGGAGGCAGTGCAACTGTTAGCTTTCCTTGTTTGTTATTCTGGATTCCACTGACAGAAATAAGAGATGTTCAATATCTAAGGCAAAGCCAGGCTACCTTTGGACACTTCTTTCCCATTATTAGCCCTCGTCACGGAGCTGGTACAAAAAAAGTTCTTCTTTGCAAAGGACGCTAAGAAATGTTAATGCACCAGAGTTGGTTCAACAAGTTCTCCAACAGCTGACAAGGACTCCCTGCAAACATCCTGACATCTGTTCAGAGTACAGCTGCCTACCTCTTGGCAAGGGCAGCACACTGAGTTCAGCAAGTTGCATACGATTAACAGGATGAGAAGTCTCCAGGAGGAAGCCAACCTACCATTTTCCTCAGAGGCTTACTGCGGATGGCCATCCCGTCCATATAGTCCTCTAGCTTGAACTGGTATGACACCTGCAGCTTCTGGAGTAGGCCATCAAAAAAAGAAGTGCCCTGCAAAACATACACACATACTTGGATGTTACAATCTTTCTGATGACGAGCACAAAATCACACCATCCCTGCCACGTGCAAGAAGGAAGGTCCCTCTCCCTGAGGGCTGTTTCTCTTCAGAAAACAACAAGGAGGTCGGGGGATCTCCAACCTCAGAGGTTTTCAAGACCGAGCTAGACAAAAATCAAGACTGACCCCATCTAGTGTTTGAGGAGTCCTGCTTTGAGCAGGAGGTTGGACTAAAGCCCTCCAGCAGTCCCTTCCCACCAACCTAATTCTATAAAACACATCCTCTCGGCTCTGTCAGCCTACCTTCTATGGAGAGTAAACTGAGCTGCACAGTTTAACAGAATGACTTTCAAGCAAATTCGATAAAGATGGCACAAACACCTCCAGGAATGCTTCTGTTTATTTCCACTTCAGGGCATTCATTTCATTTTAGCTTAAATCAATTTCCAGTTAACATAAAACACACCAAAACCAGTCTGGTTTAAATTATAACAAATGGCCACCTGGACTCACACCTGCCACACTAAACCATAATCTGTCTGAGCATCTGTCCTTCCACAAGGATGGCCTAAGGTGCACAGAGGTATGAATAAGATCAAGAAGGCTAGCTGCCCAGTTACACCATCCCATTCTAAACACCAGCCAATCCCACCCAAAGGTTTAGAGGAGTTTGGGGATGTTTCTCTCTTCTTACCTCATCTAGAAGCTGGAGCAGTTTGTTCCGAATTTCTTGGGCATTTTCCCCCTGAGGGTCCTTGAGAAGCTGCCGGAATTTCTCAATCACCTGGTAAAATGCGTTCTTCCACAACAGCTGGTCCACGTTCTGGGTATCAGAGAACTCGATATCCATCAGGATGCACCGTTCATACAGCTGCAGCATCTCCACCCTACAGCGAAACACAATCAGCAGTCAACGCAACAGCAACTGCCCAGCCCGGGCCTGAGCTGCCAGGGAACATGTGCTGAGCCACCTGCTGCTTTTCAGCCAGCAAGCACAAGATGTCAGCAGTTCAGCTGGCTCGCACGCTATGGCAAATCAATGCTTCCACACATGTCCCAGAGGGAGATGGAAGCTGTTGCAATCAAACACCCTTCCCGCTCCAAGAGGGCAAATCTGAAAGGACCATCGCCCTTGTATGTATGCATCAGAAAGGATCAGGGCCTGGCAAAGAGCAAGGAGCTCCGCTACAGCTCTGCCGCTGGCAACAGCAAGGCACAAGGGTCTCCTGTTACTAACACAGAGAAAGCGTGCACTGCCAGGCTCTGCTCCTTCTGAGCACAAAGTCTGGCTACTATCGGCCAGGAACACACAAAGAACCAGGGGGCAAGAGAGGTCTTGCCCTTAAAATGATCCCCACCTCCCTTCCATCCAACCAAAATACACAGCAGAAACAGATACCCTGCTTCCTCAAAAATGAATGAGAGCTGGGAATATCACACCTGAAGGAAATAAAGCCTCGGAGTCCCAGAAATCACATTTCCCTCGCCAGCTACCTACAGCCTTGCCCGGACGCTGGAGCAGAATTCCTCCCCTGAATTTAATAAAATAGTTGCAGGCTAGAAACAGCTCCGCAATGTGTGGGGCAAGTTTACGGTAGAGGGGATCCTCAGCTGCTAGTGCCTCGGCAGCCTTATCCTTTATAATGCTTTGAGCCCTACAGAAAACAGTACAACAGCGTAGACGGTAAAGCCTCGAGCAAAGCCAGATGGCAACACCTGGAAGAGCCTGACAGAATAAGAGAAGGATGCTGGCGGGTTCCTGTGCAAAGCACAGAACATGGTTCTGCTGCCCTACCCCACGCAGTCCCCAAACCCTGCACACACACGCTTAGACAGCACAAACACCGACCAAGCGAATTAGACGTTTCTGCAGATGGACATCTGATAAGCAGCACTTGCATCCAAGAGCCCAACACAGCTCCGCAGACGGGCTGGCAGCAGGCACTCGGAGACAGGCAGGAGACACACCGAGACGGAGGGACACTGCTGGCAGGGACGGAACCAACCATGCCTACGCTCCTAGGGCAGGGTAGGCTTTACACGGGCCACAGCAGCACTGCGCAGTCTTTCCTCTCCCTCCAGACAACAACTCTGGGTGACCTTGACACCTTGAGGAAGACCTGAAACCTCCAGTGCTGCTTCAAGCGCAGACACATCCCACCCTGTGGTCTATAGCGCAAGTCCCCAAAACACAGAACAAGCCCTGAAATGAGCTCACCTGCTAGATTTGCTGCCAGTCAGCTCTGAAAATAAGTCTCCAGAGAAGCCCCGGAGACACAGAGGTCACAAGTAAATGTGAAAGATGCCAAATAGAAACTTGCTACAGCCATGTGAACTACCCTCCAGAGCACAAGTGTCACTTCCCTCTCGCTAGCTGGCATCACCAGGCTACTCCCACTGGACTGCCGTATGTCACACGGTTGAGTGGTATCAAGAGCAAAACTACGCAGTGCTTGAAAGGTGCTGTCACTGTTACACAGCATCAGGAACCCATGCAACACTTCGCAAGCACAAGCCGACAGTTGCGGCCCCTGAAGCCCACAACGTAAATCAGACAGCAGATAACCAAGGACAGGTGAGAAAGCAGAAGTCCACCAGCAAATACTGAAAGCACGTGAGAGCACTGGAACTGAGACAGACCAGCTCCAGCAAGAGCATGAAGAATCCAAGAGCCACAGCGGGTGCTCGTCCTGCTCCCTCGCATCCCTGTGACACAGGCAAGGCACTCCGCAACCACAAGAAGCCACGGCTTAGCTCCCAGCCCAGACAAATGATATCTTCACCCACAGTTTCTTTCTGATACCTACACATCACCGGTACGTGACAAACAGTCCCAGCACATCAAAAGCTAGCGAGCCACTGCCCCATCTCCCGGTCTCTGAGACATCGATGTCTCCACTCTACCAGATCCCCAAGGAGCACCATTCTCTGGATAACAGTTCTGGTAGCAGTTCACCCTAGAAATGACTCAGTCACACGCCCCTCTACAGCACAGCCACAAACCTCAGCTGGGCCATCTTCTCCAGCCCCTCCGGGCTGATGCGGTCTCTGGAAAGCAGATTGCTGAGCTGCTGCTCCTGGTTCCCAGCCTCGCGGAGGAGTTTGCTGAGCTCCTGCTGCTGCATGTTCCGCATCTGCTGCTCCATCTCGGGACTCAGAGGAGTCGGGGGGAGTGGGCCGCACATGTACTGCCCCCCCTGGCCAGGGTACCCAGAGTAATAGGCTCCTGGGTACACACCATTGCTTGGACCCATAGGATACTGCAGGGAGTACCCGCCATAAGGATACTGGGGGCCTTGACCAGAGGCCCGAGGGTAATAGTAGGGGTTGTCGGAGTTTTGGAACTTATAGTAGGATGTCTGGGCCTGGCGGGCTTCCCCCCAGGAGGTAGGGCTCACTTCATCGTCCGTGTCTAGGAAGTGAAGCTGAGCGGTCTGGCTCTTCAGAGCGGGTTTTTGGTCCGGGTTGTTCGGGTCCCACAGCCTGCGAACAGTGCCGCCTCGGCCCCTGCTTCGGGGGCCTTTACTCCCAGCACCACCGAGCAGGAGCCTGGGCCCAGGGTGACTGGGTTCAGGGGAGCCCGCGGTGCTGGCAGAGAGGTCCGTGTTGGCAGGCAGGAACAGAATCCCACGGCCCCTCCCTTGGGGCTCTCTGCTCTGGCTCCTCGCCTCCGAAGCCTCTGAGTCATTGCAACTAACAAACGCCTTCAGGGGCTTTTTTTTATCTGTATCTGCCAGACTGATATCCCTGTTCATAGTCTTGCTGTCAAATGTGACTCGAAAGGGTCCCTTGACTTCCCTGCCATTGCTGCTCCACTT